AAGTAGAGCCCTAGCTGGTTTGGCTCAGTGAATAGAGTGTTGGCCTGCGGACTAAGGGTCCCGGGTTTGATTCCAGTCAGGGGCACATGCCCGGGTTGTGGGCTGGAGCACCCAGTAGGGGACGTGCAGGAAGGAGTCGATCAATGATTGTCTCTCATCATTGATATTTCTCTCTCTTTCTCCCTCTCCCCTCCTCTCTAAAATCAAAAATATATTTTTTTAAAAAGTGAAAAGTAGGAAACACAATTTAGGTTGCTACCCAAGTCTGTTTCCCAAGCTCCAGCTCCTTTTTGCTCAAATAAATGCATTTTTTTTTAAAAAAAGTAGAAAGTAAGAGGTAAAACAAATATTAATATTTGACTTACCCCCACTGTATCCAAAATAGCCTCATTTCAACATGCAATCAAGATAAAATATCAATGAGAGATTTCACATTCTTTTAAAAGAATGTATACTTACAACATCTCTCAATTTGGACGAGCCACATTTTGAGTGCTCGGTAGCCATGTGACAAGCTCACTGGAATGTGCAGGTCTAGACAGAACCTGATTTTGCTGTTGTATGACTCACCTCATCCACCTCTCCCTAATCCCAGCCCTCGAGGATCCTGCCTTTATTTAAAAAGTTGATATTTTGTTCAATCTGGATTTTTCCCAAAAATTTGATTTTCGAAAACATTGCACTCAAATAATATGGAATCTCCCCTACAGAAACTTGTACATGAATGTTCACAGCAGCATTATTCATATTTGCCCCAAAGAGGAAACAACCCAAATGTCTACTAACTAATGAATGGATTTTTTAAAATGTGGGGTGTATATTATTTGGCAATAAGAAGGAATGAAATAATGAGACATGCCACCACGTGAATGAACCTTGTAAAGTAAATGAAGCTAGTCATAAGGCACATTGTACGAGTCCATTCATACATAGAGACAAAGTAGATTGGGGGTGCCAGGGACTGGGGGAAAATGGGGAGTGATCATCAGTGGATACCAGGGTTTTTTTTGGGGGGGGGGGATGAAAACACTTTTAAAATTGATTGTGGGGCCCTGGCCAGTTTGGCTCAGTGGATAGAGCATCAGCCTGTGGACTGAATGGTGCTGGGTTCAATTCCGGTCAAGGGCACATGCCTGGGTTTCGATCCCCAGTAGGAGGCATGCAGGAGGCAACCGATTGATGGTTCTCTCTCATCATTGATGTTTCTATCTCTATCTCCCTCTCCCTTCCTCTCTGTAATCAATAACATATATATATATTCAAAAAATTGATTGTGGGAATGATAACACAACTCTGAATATACTAAAAACATTGAATCCTATATTTTAAATAGGTCAGTTATATGGTATGTAAATTTTATCTCAATAAAGCTGTTATAAAATACTTAATCTTAATTACCGTTTTGGTGCACACGTAAGTTTTGCGGCCCAGCCTTACTCTCTTCACCCTAGTGCCCACCCTGCTGTCCCTTCCACACCAAGCTCAAGAGGGACAGCTAAACCCTGGCCTGTGTGACTCAATGGTTGGAGCGTTGCTCCTCCAACCCAAGAGTCTCGGGTTTGATTCAGGTCAAAAGCACTACCTGGGTTGCACCACTTGTGGGGGAGGCAACCAATTGTTGTGGCTCTCTCACATCAATGTTTCTCTCTCTCTCTCTCTCCTCTCTCCCACTCCCTCTCCCTTCCATTCTGTCTAAAATCAATGGAAAAAACATCCTCCAGTGAGGATTAACAAAACAAGAAAAAAGAGAGGGACAGCTAAGATGGGGAGAAGGCCCCGGGGTAGGCGAGGAGGGGTGGGAAAGCCAGGGCGAGGTGGCCAGTTGAGCGCCCGCCCCACACCGCGCTGTTTTTCTTGTCAGCAGTCGCTGCAGGAGTGGCAGGCTCCCGATGGGAAGAATGGTGGCTCTTTCTGGGGCGTCTACAAAGCCTGATTCCAAGGGCCTCCGCCTGCCTGGCTTCCCCGGCTGCCTGACTCAATTTGCCCACTGCATGCGTGTGACCCTCTGCTGGCCCCCAGTGACTCAGGCTGCCTGGAAGCCCCCTCCCTGGGGACGCTGGGCTGCTCGTGGAGACTTTTCACAGACATGGCGGAAGCAGGCCAGCGCCAAGCAGCCCAGCAGGACCTTGGACCCACAGCCCACCCCGCAGAGGGCCTAAGGGCTGGGATGGGCAGTTCAGAACTCTTCTCAAAGGACCTTTGTGGGAATGGCTGGGGGGGGGGGGG